TGACATGGTTGGTCCCCAAAGGCTCATGTGCTGACGACTTAATCTTCAGTGTGGAATGTGAGAGGTGGTACTTTTGAGAGTGAGCATAGAAGAAGATCCTAAAGTCACTGGGCACATGCTGTCAGAGTGGATGAAGGTAGTTATCATGGGACCCTCACTTCATTCTTGTGAGAACAAGTCATTGTAAGAGCAATCCTGACCCCTGGACAACTTCCTGCCTTCTGTTTGGCGATATGATGACTTCTTTCCATAAGTTCCCACCATTTTGACACATCCACCTTTTATTAGGCTCTCACCACAGGCTAAACTTTCAACCTCCAGAATCGTGAGCAAAATAATTAAAAAAAAGATTAGCCTGCCTCAAGAACACAGACTGACATAGAAAATTGGTACTAAAGAGTGGGTTTATTACTCTAATTAAAAATATGGAAGCAGCTTTAGTAAAGGGCAGAAGTTGAAGAATTTTGGATGACTAGGTTAGAAAAATGTCTAGAATGTTATAAGGTGAATATGATGAATGACTCTGGTAAGGGCTCAGAAGAGAAGGAGCTAGGGAACTATTCTTAGATGGAAATGAGGACTTTAATGGTTATTAGACTACAGGTCACCCTGGTTGCACAACTGCAAGGAACTAAAATGCATTGTGTTCATGCCCTAAGATTTTTGGAAGGCCAAACTTAAGAATAATGGACTAATTTATCTGGTCGAGGAGATTTCAAAACAATAAAGAATTCAGGCTGTGAGTATTACTAACTGCTTTTAGTCAGATTTACAATGAAACTTGATAGCAAAAGGAAACAATAGAATGATTTGGAAAATCTGAAGTCTGGACAGGGAAAGACCAACAAAGAATATTAAGGGGATAGCCAAGAAACCACTCACTAAGGAGATTAGCATGGAGAGAAGGGAGACAGTTGTTTTGCAACAGGACAATAAGAAAAAGGCCTAGAGGGTGTTTCAGAAATCTTTGAGGCTTCTCCTGCTATCACAAACCCACAGGCCCAGAAGTGTGAATTGGTCACAGGGACTGAACCTGGGTGTTTTCCACAAGCTCACTGCTAAGTGCTGCCTGAAGTTTCCATCTTTCCAAAAAAAAAAAAAAAAAGTGCTCTGAGGATACTACTGTAACAGGAATTTAGAAGCTAAATTTTCTAAAAGCAGTGACTGTGCATGCTCAATGGGTAACTAAAAGCAGAGTAAAGCTTGACACCTCTGCCTTCATTTTGTGTCTATCTCCTTTATTACCTTAAAGTTTGGATCGGGTCTCTGCTCAGCTCTGTATGTAGGCATGCTAATCTTTTAAGGAGTATTCATTTAAAAACTGGTAATACAAGATTTTTAGCTCTAAATTTACTTAGCCTGTATCCTCCCCTTGAAGGCTGAGGCAAGATTTGCAGGATCCTCTTTCAGATTCCTGGAGTGGCAGCTACAAATCTCCAGTCATTGTCCCTTTTCAGGGTCACAGATCTGATAGACAAGCATCCTGAGCAGGCAACAATTGGACTAAGACTTTTTAATTATGCATTCCTCTCACCTACTGTTCCAAGTCTCCTCTATTTAAACTTAAAGTTCCTGTCTAGCACTTTAAAGACAGGTCTGAGAAGCTGGATCTCACTTTGCCTTTTGAACAGATCCATATTGATTAAAATTTGCTTATCTGCTTTTCACTATTATCTTTTCTGTTTTTTTTTTTTTTTTTTTAGGAGCAAGTGGATGGACCTAGTTAGTTGGAACCTTGAAATCAGACCCCTGGCCTAGCACCTAGCACATCAATAGTACCAAAACCATGGCTCAGGCGTGAGAGGCTAGACAGAAATTTTGCCAGAGGGTTGAAACCCCTGTAGAGAGGATCCAGTGGTTTGGCGCCTAGTGGAATTGTGGGAGGATAGCCACAGCAAGGAATTCCAAAAAGTACAGCTACCAACAATATGAAATTCACACCCAGGAAAGCCACTGACTTCATGGGCAGCCCAAGAGAAGAGTTACGTGAATGGTGACCAGAAAGACATAAGGGCAGAGCTTCTTGAGACCCTGGGGCCCATCTGTTGCCATAGTGCACACAAGATGCTGGATTTGGAACTTCAGATTTTAATATCTGCCTTGCTGGATTTTGGTCTTGCTCTGGGCAAATTATCTCTTTTCATTTGCCTATGTCTTCCTCTTGGAATAGGAATGTTTACCCTGTGCCTGTCCCACCATTGTCAATTGGAAGCATGTAACCTGATTTTTTATTTCAAAGGGGCTCACAGCTGAAAGAGTTTGCCTTGAGTCTCTAATGAGACTTTGTACTTTTGAGTGACACTGGAATGGACTTTGGCATTGCAGGGATAGAATAAATGCGTTTTATATGGTGAGACAAACATAACTTTGGAGGCCATGGGCAGAATGCCATTGTTTGGATGTGGTTTGTCTCCCCAGGGTTTATTTGTTGAAGGCTTGGTCCTCAGGGTTGCTACAACAAGAACCTAAAAGCTGCTCCTAATAAAGCAGCCTCTTTACTTGTGTCTGTAGATGTCAGATTGTTAGGTAGTGGGTAGGTAGGAGCAATGGGTCATGGGGTTTAAGAGCAAATCAGTCAATCAAAAGCCCTACCTCAGTGACACCACAGTGTCTGACAAGATACCTATTTCAGGACCCTTGTCTGATCTCAGCCCTACAAACTATCCCTCTTACAACAGGAGGAAGACAGCTAAGTTCAGAGGAGGATAAGTAAATGTTTGTTCAGAAGGGCCTAATTGCAGAAGACCCTATGCAAACAACAAGGTCTGAGATTCCCAGACCTAGGAAAGCAGATTAAGACCAGAGCCCACCATCTATAAGCTCCATAAAACTGGTTCCAATTAGGACCTGTCAGCCAGGTGAAGATGACCAAGAGTTGACCTTACATTGCTAACCAACATAGTCGATGAATCCAGAGCTAAGAGAGGTGCTCTTTGGTAGGAACTTCTAATAATCTCCCTTCTACCCCAGTAAAAACAGGGACACAAGGAAGTGAGTCATTGCTTTCCTCTCCACTCTCCTCTCAGAGATGAGCCCTCCCTTCCTCTTGAGAGTGCCTTCTAACCTTGCTATATTTTTACTACATTTCATGTCTTGCTTGAAATCTTCTCAGGTGAGAACACAGAGGTGAGAAACACAAGGCACCCTAACAGCTGTAACAACTAACTAAAAACAGAAAACTTGGCATGTCTGCCTTCATTTTGTATCTGTCTCCCTTTTTACCTTAATCCTTGGGTCAGATTCCTGTTCAAGTTTGCATGTAGTCATGTTAATCATTTAGTGTATTAAGTCCCAACATTTCAGTTTTGAAAACACAATAAATATCCAACTATTGCTTCAAAGTTACCATAATTGGTATATTTATTTTTTAAGGTAGGTTTTTATAGGTGTTTCACATATGGACAATGGGAGAAAATGAGTTTAAGAGGCATCCATTGAAAGCTTGTAATTTTCCCCCTTCAAGGCCAAAGATGCCAAGATAGGAGTAGCTAAGGTATTTTCAAGATTTTCAAGGGTATAATAATTGACAGATTTTCAACTGCTAGCTTTTCAAACATCTTGTTCCAGAACCTTCAGTGTTACCTGGAATTCTCTAGCCATTGATAAACATCTTTCAGGAAGAAAGAATCCTTGCAAATAGACTCATGATGAGGCTCCTCCCCACAAATAGAATAAATCATTTCACGGGAACTGAATTGTCTCCACAATCAATTATACTTCTCTGAAGATATATTTCAGAACCAGAAATGAGTTAAAGATCAACCAGACCACAGTTTGACCAACTTTGCTGAATTATGCATTCCTCTTGACCTGTGTCCAATTCTTTCTCTTTAACTCAACAGCTATATCAGTGCCCTGAAGACAGGTCCAAGGACACTTGATCCTCCTTGTCTTCCCAATATAACTATATTGAATATATTCTGCCTTGTATCATTACTCTTTCCATTTTTTTTGGGGGGGATAAGTCTACTGGACTGGTTTGTTGGGACTCTGCAGTGTCAGATTTGCCTCTGGTCTGGGCATCTGGTGAGATAGTGATGTAAGAGATGCAGGTACCTTTAAGAGGTGGAGATTAGTGGGAGGTTCTTATTTCAATGGTAACACATTCTTGGAAAGGATGTGAAGGAAATTCTCATGGGACTCTGAGTTAGTCTTCATGGGAACCAGTTGTAAGTATGACCTTACTCTTGAATTGCTCTCTTGTCTGGCAATAAGATCTCTTGCTTCTGCACACCCTTTTGCCATTGTGATGTTTATGATGTCATCTGCTATGGGATCTTTACCAGAACTGAGCCAATGCCAGTACCATGCCCTTAAACCTGCAGAACTATAAGCTAAATAAACCTTTTTTTTTTTAAATCTAACCAGGTGTTTTATTATAGCAGTGTAAAACTAACTACTAGAGCTAGTTGAAACCATTAAATCCACCACTAAATCCACTAAATTCATCACTTCTTTGGGAGAAGAGAAATCCCTCACAATATTCCATTAATATTTAAAATGACTAAACATGGGGTTAAATCATTTAAATGGAAGTGAAGTATTATAAGCTAAAGTTAAATTAGAAGAAAAGATAGAGTTTTATTTACATTTAATAAATTAGTGTTAAATTGATTATTTGAATGGATTAAATACATCACCTGTCTCTATATTGTTTGCTCCATAACTTTTTCATTTGTCTTACTGAAGATGCACAGATTATATCCTTGCTTTTGAGCTTCACCGTGACACTCTGGTCAACAGAACATTAGTAATGTAATACGAACACAGATGGGGAAAGTTCTTGTTTACTTCTGGTGCTGCTCTCCCTACTCATCTCCATGGTCACGAGTTCATGACTGAGCTACCTGGCTGGAGTATGATGCCCTACTTTCTCCTAATGTTCATAGAATGAAAATGTTAAATTTTTTCCAACTTGAATATTGATCTAACATTAAATCAATTAAACAAACAGTTTTTCCAGTATAATTGTGTGATTATATAATTTCTGGTTGAGTGGTAACCGAATGCCAACTTTTCTAAAGCTTCATTATGTTGGACAAATGTTCTATTAAAAATTTTAGCGTTTTTAGGTACAGTTGATAAAGCCTGGGTGACAGCAGCAGGGATGACAGACAAGTTTACAGTATGAGCTCTGTGTACATAGAAACACAGAAAATAAGCAAGGAAGCACTTGAGTTTGTTCTATTTCCCATTCCTTAGTGTTAGCTCAAGCAGATAATAATAACTAGCCCAGTGAAATGAAACTCAGTTTCAGCGATTTGAACTTTCTGTGGACGTACTCCGAGGCAAGAGGTAAAGTATTAACTTCTCATAACTTGTATTGGGCATTTATTCTTCAGCTCAGATTTAGGATCTTTCTCTGTGTGCTTCTGTGTTCAACAGAGACCACATGCAGGTAGGCACCTTCTTCTCTCTTATCATACCAGCATAGGGGTTGATGGTTACCATGAGAATATTGAGTCGAGTCTTCAAAGCAAAAAGAAGAGTTTAATATAGAGAAATATAGGAGGAGGTTGGATGTGACTCTTGGGTCCCTAGTATTTAATAAGAAGTAGTTAATGGGAATATGAAAACATTGATTTAAGTACCTCATATTGTTAGCTTTCAGGCTGTTTGATTGAATGTCAATGTCTTTTTTTTGCATATCTGGATTTTTTTAATTTTATTTTTTAAATTGTAACACAATAAATCATAAATGTATATATTTATGGGGAACAAAAACTTATAATTTATGAATATAATATGGAATAATTAAACCAATGTGATTAACATATCAGTCATCTCAAATACTTAGAAGTTTCAGCTACCTCAGAACTCTGCATATATTCATATGGTACAGAAGAGAGAAATATGCATATTTTAAGATCATCTGTTTTACTCCTTGACAGCCTTTTAGGACTATCCCATTAGTCCCAGTACATGATTTTCAAGGTTCTTCTCAGCCACGATCCTGTTAAAGTGGCCCTTGGCAGTGCTGTTAGGCTTCTCTCAGCCGAGTAGCTTCAAACCTGATGACTTCTTCATGAGAGTCCTGTCCTCCTACCTCATCACCAGACAACCCTCTGCAACTCTGCAACGAAGGTTTATAAAGGTAACTCCCCTGAACAGGTGAACTAATTAGGCTCTCACTCTTCAGGGAACACTTTTGTTTCAGACATCAAATCAGAGCTTGTACGAGTGTTTTTGTTTGCAAAATATGACTTTCTGTCATATGTATTTGCTTATCATTTGTGCCAGAGCAGGCAAGAGTAAACATTTTTCATCAAAATTATTTCCTGAGTAGTATTTCCTGCTTAGTAGTTCCATATCTTGACTATTTTGACTCATTCTGCAATGAACGTGGGAGAACAGGTATCTCTTTGACTTGATATTTCATTTCCTTTGGATTTATTCTCAGGAGTGGGACTGCTGGATTGTATGGTGGTTCTATTTGTACCCTTTTGAGGAAACTCCATATTATTTTTTTTAGTAACTTTAGTACTTTGAATGCCTGTCAACAGTGTTTGAGGGCTCTTCACCAATACTTTTGTCTTTTTATCAATAACCACCTTAAGAGGTGTGAAGTGATATACCAAATAGTTTTCATTTTAATTTCTCTGATGATTGGCAATATTAAACATTCTAAAATATACCTGTATGTATAAGTAAAGAATATGATACACACACACAAGTATTATTCTTCAATACAATACAAATACAATAATTTAATATTATTATTGTATTTGATAATTCAAATGAAACTAAAGGACATTATTCTATTTGAAATAAACCAGACATGGAAAGGTAAATACTGTATGATGTGACTTATATTTTCAAACTGTTTTAGTCAGCTTTTTTACTGTTGTGACTAAGAGACCTTAGAAGAGGAAAAGTTTATTTGGGGGCACATGGTTTCAGAGGTCTCAGTTGTTGGACAGCCAGCTTCATTCTTTGGGGCTTGAGGTAAGGCAGATCATCATGGCAGAAGAGTGTGGTGGATGGAAGCAACTCACCTGGTAATAAACAGCAGAAAGAGATTTCAGATATAGATACAAAATATATACCCCCAAAGCATGCCCCCAATAACTTCCTCCAGCCACACCCTACCTGTCATCAGTTATCACTCAATTAATCTCTACCAAAGGATTAATTCACTAATTGGGTTAAGATTTTTATAACCCAATCATCCCACCTGTGAATGTTCTTGTGTTGCCTCACACATGAGCTTTTTAGGGATACCACATACCTAAACCATAACAAACTAAAAATGTTGAACTTATTGAACCAAAATGGAGAATAGAGTTCACCAAGTGCTGGGGTGTGGTGGGTGTGGTGGGAAGATATTGGTTAAAGGATACAAATGCAGTTTTAAGGTGAACAAATTCTGGGAATTTGAGGCTAGGCATTATATGCTGATGGATGTGTTAATTAATTTGGCCATGATAGTTGTTATGCAATCATTACATTGTGTACCCTGAATTTGTACAATCTTTGCCAATTAATATCTTTATGTCCTGAGAGCTGTGCAGAATTCAATTCATTGTATTGTATGTTAACTATGATTTCTAAAAATGGTATAAATTCAACGGAATTGCCCATTTAGGGGAATTTCTTCTTTGGAATCTCTGTCATTATGAAATAGAACATGTTGTTCTCAGTGCAGTGAAAATAGTACACCTTGTTTATGAAATTTTTTAAGGAGATAGGGAAAATAATCTTGTTGTTTGAAAATTAATTTGTGAATGCTTCAATTTTCTAATTTAGGGAAACATTCTCTTAATCATTTAACTCAAGATTTTTTAAAATTATCATTTCTAACCTGAAAAATCTATTATTCTTCAGCTAATATTCACAGGTTTAAAACATGGACTTTGAAGAACTTCTAAAACATGTAGGCGACAATGGGAAGTTTCAGGTTTTGACAATTATCTTTTTCATGCTTTCAAGTATCCTGACAAGTCCTCATGATTACATTGAGAACTTTACAGCAGCCATGCCCGCTCACCACTGCCATGTCCACCTCCTGGGCAATCCCAAATTTGAAGCCAATGTCACCATAAACCTGACAGCTGAAGCTCTTCTGAGGGTCTCCATCCCTGTGGGCCCAAACCAGAAGCCTGAGCAATGTCATCGCTTTCGCCAGACCCAGTGGCAACTCTTAGATCCCAATGTGTCAGCTGTCAATTATACTGATCCTGAGACAGAGCCATGCCTGGATGGGTGGATATATGACCAAAGTGTTTTCACCTCTACCATCGTTATGGAGGTAATACATTAATAGGGGGTGATAGGAAGTGAATTGAGTTTGGAGGAATGACAGTTTTCAATTTGCATAAATTATCCAAAGATAGGAAAGGGGATGAGAAGCTTACACAAAGAGGTGTGCATGTGTGCATGCGCATGTGCATGTTCATATACACATGTGTATTTTCCCCAGGCAGATGTGGTTTCAAAGTCAAGCGCAGTAGTATTATGCCTTTGATATATGCCTTATTGATATCCATTTTTATATTTCTAAAAGCAACATGGACCACCATTTTCGTATATTTAAAAGAGTGAATCTCAGAACTCAGATGGTCTAGGTAAAAAATCTGAAATCTGTCACAGCTGTTTTCTGTCTTATTTTACTAATGTTTAATAGAAGATGATTTTACCGCTTATTTTTTATTTTATTTTTTTAGAGAAATCCCAAGTTATTAGTGTTATCTTAGCATAATTATTAAAACACAATTTCCTACATAATGTGTTGACTATTTCACACTAGGAAGGATGATAGGAACAATATGTATAAAATACTTGAAGCCAGGCACGGTAGCACACACCTATAACCCTTCCAGCTCCGTCCGGAGGCTGAGGCAGGAGGATCCGAAGTTCAAAAGCGAGGTGCAAAGCAACTCAGTGAGATCTTGTCTCTAAATAAAATACAAAATAGGGCTGGTTGAGTGCCCCTGAGTTCAATCCCTGGTACCCTGCTCCTCTCCCAAAATATTTGAAATCTGGTACATAGACAACTTCAACAAATTTAACTCTTAGTGTTCTAAATTGTTGTTTTATATATTTGAAATGGGCATCTGAAACATGACAAATACTGTACATTATATGCAAAGTATAACCAAAGCCCTCTTCAATGAAAGCAGAAATGAGAGAATATATGTTAAGAGAGGCTGTGTTCCTCTGCTATCATCACATACCTGATTAACGATACATAAGGAAACCATTCATTTCTGGATCACTTCAAGCCTTGGCTTATTTCACCTACATACTAAGGTCCTTCTAGTGTAAACTCAATTATTATTAAATGTTAACTCAGAAAAATGGGAAGTTCCTAATGAGTTGAGTAGAAATGTTTAGTTAGGTACTTTGCAATTAAAGGAAATGTACTGAATTCATAACCCATTTTATCAGAAGAATAGTACTCTGTATGACTGGGGAACTTAATGAAAATTAGGAATACAAACTTCAGATATTTGTGCTTTGTTCATCTGGTTTTCATGGTCATCTACTATTCTTGGTCTGGCTTCTCCTTTTAGATATTGAGATGCTGAATTAAGGATAAGTCTCAAGTCTTAACTTAAACAATCTTGTATATTTTATACACTTTGAAACTATCAATTAGTAGGATAGCCATATATTTGACATATTCTATTAAAGTGTTTACTCCCATTATGTTTTTAAATAACAATTTTAAAATAAAACCATCTTCTTCTTTATGTTAATATGTTTTTTATAAAAGTTTTGCATTGATTTATAGAAAGCTTAAAAATGTTATGTTCTGGTAGACAATTATCATGGATAGCATAACTGCAGGTTTGGTATTCATCCATCAACATATTCTATATTAGCTTTATATTCTTATGTAATATTATATTCACTTCAAAAATTTAGCTTGATGTTGTTTCCCATAATTAGTTTAATATTTCAGTAGAAAATGAACAAATAATGTCTCAATATAACTCCTGTAAGCAATTTATTCTGTAAAGAGTAAAGAGATGAACTGTTGAGAAAGGTCAGTTATCCAAGGTTACAGAGTGAACCAGGGGACTGTGGTTCCAGTACTTTCTATACCCCTGTTCTGTGCTTAGGTTTATTCACTTCTAATAAGGTATGAGTTTGCATTTAATGAAGGCCTGAAGATCCTGGTTTAACCTTGGGGTATTACTGATTAACTTAACAAACATTAAGTATTCCGGTGTGACAGGACTTTTACACTGTTTTAAGTATCAACAGGCTAATGGGTCCTTCTACGCAATGGAGCATTCCATGTAACTTTGCTTCAAGATCCTTCATCTTATGGCCTCTTATTATATTCTAATTTTATGTAATTTCCACTCCTTATCACACTGCCTTTTGCTTACAGGAGACTTTATTGCCTACTACACAACTTCACCACCAATGTTGTGGTCTTTCCTTCCAACTTTATATCTATTTGGCATGTATCCTCCTCTAAAAAACCCTCTCAATTTAGCTCCATGTATGCCTAACTCAGGTCTCTGTTTAAAGATTTTTCCTTCTTAGGGACATCTGTTGGTCTCTGACAAATCCTTTTTTGTGCTACACATTCTTTTCCAGCAGTTACCACATTTTGTGTCATTGTAGAATTTTCATGGTATGTTCAATTAAGTTGTAGCATCTGGAAATTACTATTATTTTACTCAGTTTGCCTAGCTTTGAGTTTCCATTTTTAAGCATAGGATCTGTAATATTCTATGACATAATCGCCTTTTTTTGCAATTCAGTTACTTTCATGTTTTTATTTTTCTTCCTTATTGATATGTTCTCAGTGAATAACATAAATTCATCTTTTTAAGCTTTTCTTTTAGTTCACTCATAAGACAAATAGGTTCAAGGAGTCCTGTGCAACACCAAGACCTTAGAGATGGAGAGTGTGCAAAGCTATACCACTGCCCACATTGTGGGTGCTTCTGATTCTTGCTCTTTTTTGAGCAAGGTGTATCAACCCACATGGTTTCATCACTGGAGACACCTACACTGTCACTACAACATACTAGTTTTGAAGACATCTTTTATTTGGTTTCATTCCATTTTTTTCTATCCTTGAAGACTTTTGATTCCCTTGACTTCTCCATCAATATATCATATTTATGCATATTCCATATAACTTTTATAGATTCTTCTTGTTGCTCTAGGATCTCATGACAGTCACAAAAGCTTTTCTGAACTTATCAATACCTGTCCTGCTATGATACAATGCCCCAGCATGGCATCGTCTGTAAAAGAGTTTTTAAAGAAACTTTATGTCTCTGTGAGATGTACTCCTCTGAAGTTGTTGTCATAGGCTTCTATTGCATCCTCCACTGAGCGTGGAAAAAGTTGGATGTGTGGATGGATGGAAGAGATTGTAGAAGACTTGTTGGAAATGCAGTTGATCTAAACTTTCTTCTTCTCTTGTGCTCTTCCCCATTAATCTTTCTATTTCTCTTGCCCTCCAGCTCATTAGTTGGTTGGCTGGTTGGTTTCTAATTGTGCAAAGTAGAAAAATCACGCTTAAATCATCTTCTCTTTATAACCTTAACCTGACTATGCATTCTGCTAGAAAGAAAACTCATTTTCTTCCTGGTTGTACAAATAAAAATAATTTTATATTAAATATGGATTTTGTTCTGCAGTCAAAATACTCAAATCCAATAGCTAAGAATTCAAAGGAGAAAACTGTTGCTACTTTCTAGATGGTGAGGGAAAGCTAACTTGTATTATGATTTAAAAGGATCATGAACTTAGCTTTCATTGAAAATTGTTATATTGATACACTTCTCTTGTACATATTACCTTCCTCTTTTGCCACCAAGATTTAAACTTTATTGTAATACAAGTATTGTCTACAGTATTGAGTAATTATAGGTTCCAGATTCTAGTCTACAGTCTAGAATATAGCTATTGTCAATATTAAAGTAACTTTTATAATTTTTCAAAAAAACCAACCAATTTACTCAGTAGTTGTATTTATGCCATCCTCTTGACTGCCATTTTTAATTATTTACGTATTCCATTTTCTATCCAATCTTTTCCAGTGGGACTTGGTGTGTGATTATAAGTCATTCAAATACTTTGCACAAGCCATCGCCCTGTCAGGGCACTTGGTGGGCTCTGCTCTAAGTGGCCTCATTTCTGACAGGTGAGATTTCTCTTCTGAATAAGGTTCATTTTGAAAACCCAAATATGCATTTGAAAAGACTATTTGCACATTTCTATTAATAATTATATACATTAAAATAATCTAAGTATGCAAAAAATGGAAACCAAATGATAGATGGATATGTCTCAAGGAAATATAAATGTTGAAAGACTGAAGTCCCTGGCACAGGCCAATAGGAGTGGAGCTTGAATTGTCCATAAAGAATCGAAAATTCCCAGGATGGAGGTAGGTGTAAACAAACAAAAACAGGGAGGCAAAAATGTTTAAGAAATGTAGAATAACAAGTATGATTGACAAATAAAGCTTGAAAAAGGTAACCTTGAGAGATAAAGTTAAGAAGCTGTTTTTTATTTTATTTTTTGTTTGTGAGCACTGAATCTTTGTTTTCTCCTTTAATTTGGAAGTGAGGACAACCAGAAACATTTGATAACTCAAAACACTGATTGCATGCATGTTGTATTTTTTAATATGTCTAGTGTTCTTAATGTAGTGATATAGGGAGATTCATTTGTGGGTAGACTTTAATAAATTTTATGAAAAGAAGGAAAAATTTTACTACTTTGATGATTGGTCAGAAAACCATGGATAAAATTTCTAGAAACAGACTAGAGAGAAAAGGGTAAGGGAGGGATCCAGATTAATAATAAGGCAGATTTAAAACAAAAGATTAAGAATATTAATCTTAATAAGGAAGAAAATAATCCAGTTAATTCTCAAAAATATCTATCAAAGGCGAGAATTAGAATATAGAGAGGCATTAAAACTTGGAGGGTACTTACTTTGATGGAAACAGGACCAGAAATGGACAAATTATCTAATCTGAGTTCTAGTATATCTGAAATAAACAAATATGCAAATCAATAACAACCTTTACAGATACTGATATTATAAAGAAGGTGGATAAAATGTATGATCTATAAACTATCAACTGCACATTGGGTAAATGTTGTAATATAAATTCAAAAGAACTAGAATTTACTGTAAAGCATGAAAGAAGCCCACACTGTTTCCATATACTTTTGATATTTATCACTCTTGTCTATAAAATGGAAATGATAAATTCTAAATATTAGCTTTCTTATTCTTTCCATGAGTTACATGGGTAGCACTTCTAAAGAACTTACAGTGGAGATTGCACTTATAGTTCTCCAAAGAAAATATATCACTCTTGCTTTTATCAATTATGAAGAGAACAGGATAAATTTACTTTGGGGGATTGAGATGAGAAGAGATCATAACTGAAAAGATTGACTTGCCTCTATGGTAAAGTGTTCTGCTGCTCTATGGACAGATATAGTAAAATGTTATCTCACTAAGGGATAAAGATTTAAAATAAATTTTTATTGTAGGGCTGGGGAGGTAGCTCAGTGGTAGAGGGCTGGCCTAGCACGCACTGGATCTTGGATTTAATTTCTGCCACCATATGCACAAAGAAAATCATAATAAAGTTTTTATTTTGTGACCTTTTTATCACAGTTTATTAAATTCCTTTGTGAGTCATACTTTGGAAACAATCATTATTTTTTAAAGAGTACTAAACAGTCTTTTCTCCCAAAGTTGGTTTGCTGATTTTTGAGCAAAGAACTAGAAAAGATAGTTACCTGAAATTGCGTGCCTTGTTTTAAAAATATATGTAAAGCATGTTTGAAAGGCAGCATCTACACAGCTTACGGAGACACTCATAGAACTAAAGCTTTTTAGGCATAGATCAATGTGGATTGATATTTTAAATCCAGTGCTTATTCTATAACAGTGAGTAGAACAGAATGTCAGTCACATGGTACCATTTGCACCTTTATACCTTTTCTGTCTTTTGGGGGGGGTGGGTGGGTTTGTGTGCTGGGGATTGAACTCGGGGGCTCTTGGCCACTGAGCCATATTCCCAGCCCTCTTTTATATTTTATTTAGAGACAGGGTCTCACTTAATTGCTCAGTGCCTCACTTTTGCTAAGGCTGGCTTTGAACTTACGATCCTCCTGCCTCAGCATCTGGAGCTGCTGAGATTACAGATGTGAACCACTGAGCATGGCACCTTTTTTTGTCTTAAAAAAAAAATCACTCTAATTATTTTGGTAAATGTATTGTGTGTAAATTCTGCTGTATTAATGGCATACAATTAGTGATTTGAACTCTAATATTTAAGTAATACACTTCTTTCTATCATCAACAGTTGAAAAAAATGAGTAAAATTATTGGTATACATAACCAAGAAATGATAGAAGTCAAGACAGACTTGAATTCAATTATTATGATTACTACTACCCTTTGTGTATACCCAGTATTTGCGGATTTGCACAATTATTTTAATACATTATTGTGTAAATTCTAATTCTGTTGTATTAATGGCATGCAATTAGTGACTTGACTCTAATATTCAAGTAAAAAATAAATCTCAGTTTACTGGTCATTTCTAGAGTGACCATTATGGGGGTGACACTATGGTTGTAGTTACTTAGAAAACTAGAAACTCAGTTTTGGACATTCTTTAGGAATGCCCTGATGACATGTAACCACTTGCTAGATTCTTCACTAACTACTGCTACTCTAGGTTTGGACGGAAGCCACTGCTGGTCTCTTGTTGCCTGGCCTATGGAATCCTGAGCACCTGCTGTGCCTTCGCTCCGGTCTTCACCATTTACTGTATTCTGAGATTCATGTCATCTGTCTGCCTGAGTGCAGTTCTAAACAACACTTGCGTATTTCGTAAGTTGGCCTTGATTTGTGCACATGTGCTATGACAGTTTTTCAGTCATCTTTCCCAAATGGTTTTAGATATCTTCTTTTGCTTTTTCTTTCCTTTAGTTTTTGAAGGAAACTCATCAAAATGGCAACTAGTGGCTACCATGCTTTTCTCATTATCTGGGAGTATTGGCCAGGCATCATTTGCAGGCGTGGCTTACCTTTTCCGGGATTGGCACATGCTCCAGTTGGTCATTGCCTTGCCCTATCTCATTCTTTCTCTCTTTTCCTGGTACGTGAACTTTGGTGAATACAGAGCCATTTGCTTAAGTGATTACGACACATAAAAGTTTATCTCTACTGAGGGATATATTGCCATTCATTGCTCTCAGGGCCATTTTTAGGTGTAATACCCCCCAAAACTATTTAAAATTAAAAGAGAAAACTCAATTATAAAAGAATGGACCCTTTAGTAAATTTATAATAAAATTAGGTGAGCTTGTGGCTTAAAATTTTTGCTTCCTCTATCCTGTTTTTGCTTGGTTGCTGAGATCCTTCCCAGATCAGCCCACAGCAAAACATGGCTACATGAGAGACTGTGGCAGGGTGGGAAGACAGATCCTTTTCTGGTTTATGTTTAGGGGAGAAATAACATGGTCTTTTGTTTCCCAAGCACTTATTTTTGTGTTCATAAATTTTAATTAATCTTCTCAGAGATAAAATACTAGAGATCAATTAGTATATGATAATATAAAATTTTGATAATATTCAAAACTTCTAAGAACTTCAGAAGGTTCACACTTAAAAATTGAGAAACTCAGAGTCGCACATGGAAGGGGCAGTAATTTCTGAAGTAAAAATGTGAAACAGAGAAAGAAAAGAACATTTATATTTTGAATCAAGGAATCTTTACAGCTTACTCATAAACCAACCAACCAAACAAACAAACAAAAATGAAAACATTCTTCTTCCTGTTGCTGCTGTATAGAGTGGCTGGAAACAGGGTTGAAGTGTAGGTAGGGAGTTAATTAACCCCACAGTTAACCCTTTCTAAACAATGTTCTGGAAAGATTAGCGCTGTCCATGAATGGACAAGCATCTCTGTGGACTGGAATGTGACATCACCCTGCAGAAACTCCACCTGTCTCCTTTTAAACAGTGGGATCTCAGAGTCAGTCCGCTGGCTCATGGCAACTGGAAAAACAGAACAAGCATTAAAAGAGCTCCAGAGAATTGCTCGTATTAATGGAAAGAAAGAGGTGGCAGAAAGTCTGACTTCTGAGGTAAGGGAAACCTGGGTACCACTTCTTTCAATACACTTCTCTCTATCATCAACAGATGAAACAAAAATGAGTAAAATTATAGGTATACATAGCCAAGAAATGACAGAAGTCAGGACAGACTTGAATTCAATTATTATTATTACTACTACCCTTTGTGTATACCCAGTATTTGTGGATTTGCACAATTATTTTGATATTATACTGGGAATTTAAAAAGAATTGACTGGAGGCAGGCGCACAGGTATTTCACAAGTATTCATCATACTAGATATTGAAGTAAATGAAGAGTCACAGTTGTATCCATATTCTTTCTTTCTGATTCTCTGTAATAACATCTATTCTTATCATTCTCTGACAGGACATTCCCTGCTCATGGGTTGCTCTAAAACATATTAAAATTGCTGTTTTTTTGATGTCTTCAAGAGGAAGTAATATTTGAATTATCCAGGTCTCTCATGTACCTGAAGTGATTTAGGTCCCTTTAAAAGATATTGAATGAAATCTCAGCAAATTGATTCCAAAAACAGTATTTTAATTATTTACAGTTTATAGCTATCAACAATATTTTCTAGATGGAAAAGTCTAATCCAATAAAGCACGTCATGGGTGTTTTGTTTTTTTAGTGTTGTCTCCTCTCCCGTCTGCAATAAGTTAGGCTCTTATATGCATCTAATGAGTTTTGGTTCTCTTGATAGATTTATGTGAATGGTTGATCAATTATAGTCATTCTCCCCGTTTAGGAAAAGAAAACCACCAAGAGGATTAATAGGTTCCTGGGGGTAAATACAATGTATAACATTTGAATGGGAAACTGATCCAATATGATGTATTAGACATATAAGACTTCAAATATGCTTGAGAGATGATGGCTGAGACCACAGGGAGAGTAGATAAAAAGCCAGATATGAATATCCCAGTTCTTGATTACACTGTAATGTTTTAAATTTTAAAAGGGATACATATAATTACTTAACTAAAAATGTTTATAAAGTTTGAATCTATAAAACTGGTCTATTGCTATATATTTCTTGAATATATAAAATCAAATTATTTAATTATCAAAACTAAAATATATCAAAATCTCCAGTAATACAATAAAGAAAGTTAATTGAAATGCTTCAAGTATTTCACCAGGGAGGAGATTCACCACCATGGGACTACAAATGACTTTATGTAATTAATGTAATGGGATTTGCTTAACAAGAATTTAGTGGTGGTTTTATGATAATTGTGGTTCAATTGTGAACATGATTTAGCTAATTAGAGCTCTTTCAAAAGGGTACATCAATGATCCTAACAAGCAATAAATAATCTCACAATTGTTAGACCCTTCAGAAAAGGTTTTCCACAACATTTTGTATCACTTGGAGAGAAGTTTTATAAAATATATAAGTGATATGATTTTAAATGTTCATTTAAATATTGTTTTTTTTTCAGTGATTTAAATCACCTTATTGATTGTTAGGTGCTTTAAATTTCATGCATGCCAATGTAGTTTTATAAGATAATCATTGTTTCTTTGATTCCACAATAGAGTGTTGACAGCTCCAGGGAGCAGAAGGAACAATTTTGGAAATAAAAGAACTTTTTCCTGACTCTAAATATCTTGCTTTTGTGTGTGTGTGTGTGTGTGTGTGTGTGTATGTGTGTGAAGATTTTGATATCCAAAATGAAGGAAGAATTGAATACCAAGAGAGAATCTTTCAGAATGAAAGAGATCATGTGTAAACCTGCAGTATTCAAGACAGTGCTTTTTACGTCCGTTTTAGCGTAAGTGGTTTGCTTTTTCATCTTTGAACACACATTCACAATTTGAGGATCATGCTGAGCAATTTGGGGAATGCCTGCTTTAAGGGTGCAAATCCTCTACCCTTTTAATCAAAATAACAGAAAAAGAAATGCAAAGAGGATTAGGAAATGATAAAGAAACCTATATGATGTCAAGTTTTGGAAATGGGCCTATGGAATAGTTATGATTTATAGAAACTGGAGAAATAGAAAGATCAAAATGAAAAGGCAAATGAGACCCCAACAAAGTTCTATTAAATGAGAGGAAAGAGAAAGCTGGTTTTCAGATGAATTGATCCATCTTATTTTACTACAAAACACCATAGTCCCAAGGTTAATAACATAATATTTTGAATTATATAGATACAAATTCCATATCAAGTTTTGCCAAAGGCTAATTTGGAATCCTATCCCACTTGGTTTTCAATTGTTTTAAATGTACACTTTTTAAAAATACATTGTATAGTTACATGATAAAACCTGGATAAAGTGATGCACTGGAAGTGATTGATACATTTTACAAAAATCAATAAAGGATAAAATTGATAGCTTGATCATTTGATATGTATGATTAGCCCAAATCTGAAGATGAGCAAAATGAGAGCAAGAGAAATTACATGTCTTCCCCAAAGACACATTGACTGTTATTGTGAACGCTTATGCTGAATCTGGCAGCTCACAGACTGAGCCCATGACTTAAAATATGGGGACCATCACTAAAAAGGGCTATGTGTTTCCCAACACTTATTATAAACATACAAATAAGTATGAACAAATACCCCTGTGTGGCTATTTGAGATCTTCTAGTATCTGAATAAAGTAAACAGGTCAGAATGGCCTGGATCAACATGATATTATTCAAAATATAAACTGAAATGTTAAAATTATTCTAAAGTTTTAAAACAATTTACCATCACTTTCTAGTGCTGTTTAAAAATAATTATGGTCTCCTAAAAACTATAGGCAATTGGAGAGAGAGTTACATCTTATCTTTGTAGTAGGTATTTTAAGAATTGACAAAAAGTATATATTAGATTAAAAAAATTACAACAGATATTTTTAAAAATTATCTTTTTGTCCTCATGTTCTGGGAAATAACTCCTCTCTCATTTTCTTGGTTGTTCATTTAGATGTATGGATGCATACTAGGTACAAGTCAATGTGTTAAGACCCAAATAATGAATCTATTTCTTACCTAGGGAAACTGTATAAATGAATTTAGAAAATCAAACTCTGAAAATATTATGATCATAAAATTCATATTCTTATAGAATATAAATTTAGTATGAAGCATGAAGTTATGTAGATATTCATGTATAGACATTGCTTATGTCTATTATTCTACTCTACTGATTTAATAAACTGTAGTGATTTGACATTTTTTGCTCTTATTGATAAATTATACGTAATAGTTGGGTTCATTTTGACATATATGCATGGAATTTAATTTACTGCAATTTAACTAGTAATTTCAAATAAAAAGTTACTAATATTTTCTTCCTAATTACAGAAAATTGATTTTTATGTCAGTTCTTTTCAAATTACAAAGATATTGTAAGTCAACATTATTTTTTAAGAGATGCAAAAATCTAGACGAACATAATGATCTATGAAATTATGAAATAAATCATATTTTCTTTCTCTTTGTGACTAAATTATTTTCAGTTTTCATTTTGGATCTTGGAATACTCCTATCCAGATCTTAGACCAAATGCATTTTGTTTTTGATAAATTGAGTTATTTAGAAATGCAAGTCTTTAAACAGGGCCTAGCTCAATTCATTGAGACTTTGTTTCAGTGATCATTTTTTTTCAAGTTTTACTAAATAAATTCCATTGCCTTATAAATCTTTCCATTTCATTGCATACTTGGAATATTTTGATTTTAATCATTTGTGAAGGAAATACATATTTCAAACACACATGTGCTTCCATACACACAGACACACACACACACACACACACACACAAAAGATGTTTATTTCTGAGTATATTGAATACCTCTCTGCTTTCTCTCACAGGTTTTCAACAACATTCAGCTTCTATGGTCTCCTGCTGGATATTGAGAATTTGGGGAAAAACATATTCCTGACCCAGTTTTTACTAGGCATAACAGACTTGCCCAGCAAATTTCTTTCCTATTTTATATTAAAGTATGTCAACCGTCGCCCTTCAAGCGGTTTTTCACTCATTATTCTTGGAATTTCTATTCTGATCCCTATATTTGTGCCTAAAGGTGAGACTTTTCTGTGTTTAGAATCTCATTAGAAATGCAAGTCTTTAAACAGGGCCAAATAAAAAACAGAATTCACATTCGACGAATGCCAAGAAGAACGCTGCAGTCTAGTTTCAAAATCTAGGTGCTTTGAGGGTCATATATTGCTTAATAAATAGAGGTCCACCTTTATGGTTTCCTTGAACAGGAGCTATTACACCAGCTTTACCAGGCACTAAATATTACTGATAAAATAAAGTCATGCCTGGGAAAACTGAAAGTAGCAATATGTGCTGAGCCCCACAGCATCATGTAATTTGTGCTAATTACAAGTTGTTAGTTCCAAAGTCTCTTTAGATGGCTTCCAAATTTCGTCACTACAGGAAAGTAGGAATTTACCTGATGAAGAAATACAGGAAGAGAATACAGGTACAGGTAGTAGTAGAGAAATACAGACAGCAGGAAGAGAAAATATGTGCAAAAGGTATTTGGGAGACATCCTGATCATTGCATTATTAGATTATATATTTTGAGGATGTAGGAGATAGGTAATGACTTGGTTCAAGAACATATCACCTGGGGCTGGGGTTGTGGCTCGGTGGTAGAGCACTTGCCTAGCATGTGTGAGGCACTGGTTTTGATCCTCAGCACCACATATAAATAAGCAAAATAAAGGTCCATTGACAACTAAAAAAATGTTTTAAAAAAGAAGAAATATATTTTTAAAAAGAATATATATCACTTATCTTTAGTTAATAATATGCTACTGAAGTTCTTTATCAATCAAAACTGCAGTTTTCTATTTGGACAACGTCAATATGGCTGATTTCAGTGTATTTATAGAAAGAATGTAAAGCTATAGTCACAGGCCATGGTTAGTCTTATTATATGGGAGGGACTGAAGAAGGGCAGTATCCTTAGGAATAGGAAACAGGGTATGCAGTCAAGACGTATTCTGGAGGAAAAATCCCCAAATCTTGGGAATTCACTGAAAATAAAGAATGAGAAAAAAATCAGTCAGTTAAAATGATTTTCATGTTTCTGACAAAGGTATTTAGTGAAACTGCATTTTAAAAATGCGGGAAGGGGAATAATTTGGCAAAAGTTAAGAAGGCTGTGGGGAATATAGATTTGTGTTCTAAGGATGACACATTTATAAACTTAAGTAAATCCTGAGTATATTATCTTATTTCTGTTCTTATTGCTATTTCTATACATTGACCTCTATTGACTATCATCCATGAAGAGCAAACTCTCACACCACCACTCCCAGCTCTAATTATTTTGTAACTAGTCCTGCCAATGCCCTCTCTGAAGGGCAGCCTAAGTGTCTGAAATATCTCCGGATTCTGCTGTACCCCTTTTAACTTTTCCTTAGCCAACCTCTTCTTTGTATGAGCATCTTTATAAATATGCTCTATGTAATATATGCTTTATAAACTATTCTCCTGATATAGTCCCTGGTAGCTAGTTTTTTATACTTTAGTTCACACTTTAAAAAACTGTAGGTATGTGTGAATAATTCTCTTTCTCAGACAAGATCTTCCAGATGTCTTTCCACCTTAGCTTCCAAGTCCCTCTTATTATCTGGTCTCTACTTTCATGTCACTTCTTCAAGAAGGCCTTCCTCCCAGCCCAGTTTTAAGTTGAGTGTCTTTCTTGGGCTCCCACATGTTTTGAACGGTCTCACCTTTGACTATCATAGACCATCACCTCTAGACTTTTCTTTGTTTCCTCTACTTGAATATAAACTCCTTTGGGACTGACCCTTTATTCTACTAAATAACATTACCAGAATCTACTGATTTTCTTGCATGCATTGTGAACAAATGACCCAGTTAAGGGTGTGTGTATGTGTACATGTATATAGTCTTGATAAATAGCCAGTTATTGTAGAAGTCATCTGAGTTGAGTCACTACAGATAAGTGGGGGTTTACTTGGTAAAGAAAGGCAGAAAGGGTGCACCAGAAAGAGTGTAAGAACAGTTCACATGAAGTCCACTCTCTTAACAAATTTTTACGTGCACAATAACTTATTGCAAACTTTGGAAACCACTCTGTTCAGCAGGTCTCTGGGACTTACTTAGCTTGGGTTACTGCAACTTGATAACCATGGAGCAACTTCCTGTGCCCACTTCCCCATTCCCTAGCAGCCATCATTCTGTTTGTACTTGGAAATTTTTGATTCCTAGTATATGAGGAATCAGACAGAACTTGTCTTTCTTTCTTGATTCATTTCACCTTGCATAATGTCTTCTAAGTCCATTCATAATGTCTCAAAAGAAAGAATTTCTTTCTTTTGTGTTAAGGCTGAATAACATTTCATTGTATTATATACCATACATTTTTGTTTTCATTTGTTCATCTGTATCCAGATATTTGGGCTGTTTCCATATTATGGCTGTTGTAAATAAAGCTGCAATGGACATGGGACTGTAGGTATCTCTTCATTGTTTTCATTTTGATTCTTTTGAATATATCCTCAGATATGAGATTATTGGATCTTGTGATAATTCTATTTTTATTTTTTTATAAAACCTATGTATTATTTTCCATAGCTGCAGTACCATTTTACATTCCTATCAACAGAGCACAGAGGTTCCTTTTTCTCAATATCCTCACCAAAACTTATCTTTTGTGTTTTTAGAATTGCCATCTCAATCAGTAGGCAGGTAATATCTCACTGGGGTTTTGATTGCAGTTTGCTCATGAACAGGAATATTAGTCATGTCTGCATATACCTGTTGATCATTTGCATATCTTCTTTGGAGAAATGTCTATTGAAGTCCTTTGCCCATTTTTAAAATAGGTTACTTAGAATTTCTTTCTTTCTTTTTATTTTTTTGGTAATTCAGTTTTAGGATTTCCCCATGTATTTTGAAAATTACCTCCTTCTCAGTTATATGATTTGATGATATTCTGTTCTGTAGGTTGCCTTCTCACTCTGTTGAATTTTCCTTTGCTGTGCAGAAGTTATTCTTTTTAACATGAGAAGCTTTACCTCATGTTTTCTTCCAGCACTTTTACACTTTCAGGTTTAAGTCTTTAATCCAGTCTAGTTGGTTTTTGCATATAATGTGAGAGAGTATGAGCTTTGCAATTCCTCTTTTTTAAGCTGTCTTACTATCTGTTTCTCTGCTGATTTGTTCAATAAAAGCCAAAATCTTAAGCTTAGAGGGCAGAGGGTACATGAAGGACAAAGTATTCTTCCCCAGTCCTTTAAAACAAAGTATGATTCCAGATAATTGCCTGTTGGTAAATACTTATGAAATATTTGTAAAACAAATGAATGAAAAAGTAAATGTTGATTCAACCCAATATTTTCCCCCAAATATTGTTCACAGAGATGTATGTTCTGCGCCTCACTCTTTACCTCTTGGGAAGATCATCTGTTTCTGTCCTTTCATCCATACTTTTAATCTTTTCCAACGAACTCTCAGCCACAGTACTGAGGTAAGAAAAGAAATTGCAAATATTCTATCTTGATAATTTTTGTTGAATACTGATGGAAGCTTCTAGAAGATTTAAATGAGTAAATAAAATTTATTTAAAAAGTTATTTCAGTGAATTTTGAGAATAGTTGACAGACTATGCCTGGCACATGTTTTATCAGATCAAATTATTTTGCAGCATTTTCCTAACTCTCTCCACATTACCATGTATCCAAAACTCCTAGCCAAAAATACAGTCCATGATTGTCTTCCCACCCTACCCGCTTCAGACTTAGAATAATAACCTACCTGAGCCTATTTCATAACCTCTTTGGTAGCTCAAAGAACATCTTTGTGCAAATTAAAAAAAGGTGCACCTTTCTAAAGTTACTTTTATCTGTAAAAACAAAATATTGTGTAGTAATGAATGGACAAAAGTATAATACTAGAATTCATATTGCACAAAATCATAACTATGGACCTGTGTCTGCCATGAGTAGAAATTCCTGTTCAAGACTGCCTTTGCAATACAGGGTCATAGGTATTATGCTTATATGCCAAGCCTAATCCTCAATCCTTGCAGGAAAATACATCCCAAATTATTTCCTTTTCTGGGCGGGGAGGGAAAGCGGGAATTGAACTCAGGGGTGCTTGGCCACTAAGCCACATCCCCTGTCCTATTTTGTATTTTATTTAGAGAAAGTGTCTAATTGAATTGCTTAGAACCTGGCTTTTGCTTAGGCTGGCTTTGAAATTTTAATCTTTCTGCTCAGCCTCCTGAGCTGCTGGGATTACAGGCATGCACCACCATGCCTGGTTTCCTAAATTATTTCTATCTTTAATATAGAAGCTTGAATAATTTTCATAATCTAAGATTTTAAAAATGCAATAGCAGAATTTCAGACAATATGGCAAAGAAAACATGGAAAATAGCTATTTCGATTATTTCTTTGCAAAGTGTATTTTAAAACTTTGCTTGTTCAATTATTTATTTTGCAGTAAATCTTTGGATTAATTTTTCTATTAATGCCACACTATTTCAGTTCACCATGGAAGACTCTTCTATTAAAGTTACCAAATACTACATGCTATTTGAAAACACTTTACTATCAATTACCATTTCATGCTTTTCTATCCATCTTAAAAAAAATCATCTGAAGAAATGTGTTCTTCTATATCTTAGGGGATTTTATTTCATACCATGTTTCTCCTTTTTTGTAGAGAACTTCATAAAATTCCTAGCATGATACATACTATCAATCAACAGACAAAATATGTATAAATCAACAAGTATAAATAATTGGGTTTGCTCAAAAAATTAATTTTTGAAGCAGCTTATTTTGGTATGATTTAACATACAAAATTCTGTATATATTTAATGTATTTGACTTTATGAATTTGAGGATAACTATACTTCCATAAAATGATGATCATCATGAAGGCCACAAACATATCCATCACATCCCAAAATTTCCTCCTACCTTTTGTTATCATTATTATGACATCTGGCAAGAACATGTGACATAAGTATGCAGTGTTTTTAGGTATAGGCATTGTGCTATAGGTATTATACCTACTGAAGTAAGTGTTAGAACTGATTTATCTTGTGTGATTGAAACCTTGTACCCTTTAGGCATTGTCTCATCACCCACCTATGTGTGCTCCTGAGTGATCTGATGTGCTTTTCCCATTTTCTTTATCTTTTCAAGACTCAATTTCAACCTTTATAAAAGTACATAAAATATGACACATATCAGAATAGAAATTTTTGTGGATATCATAAGAAAATATATGTGAAATGGCTACCCAGTTTCTGTAGAGAAATAAGATGTTGATATAACTTGAACTATCAGTTGTTGAAATCACTGAGAAAATTTCTTTATTTTAAAAAATCTTATTTCCGGCAATAAATTGTCCTTTAAAATGATCAATTTGTATAAGAAAAAACTCCACATCAGTCTAATATTATAAAAGAAACCTAATGTTTCTTTCTAGGATTCATATAAAAATTTACAAGGAACATTCACATAGATTATTTAGGTTGGCTAGATTTAGTTGAGAAAGAAAAAAAAGAGAAAGAAAGAAAAAAGAAGGAAAGAAAGAGGAAAAGAAAGGAAGAAATAGAGAAAGAGATGGAAAGAATACTGGGAAACCAATGAAATTGAAATTTCAGACTCCATATTCTTGAATACAAATGAACGCATCAGTAAGTAAATATTTTCTGATTCCTGCTTATAGTAGAATATTGTTGTTCTTTTCTGAAATTCAAATTTGTTATCTTGTGTTTTACCAGGTAACCCCAATTTTGCACTACATAACCTTTGAATTAGTGCATGCTTTCTTCATTTTATAGATGAGGGATCACCAAATCACATATAAGTTGTATTCTGTATAAAACATAGAAATGTACCTTTAAATTCCTTACAGGTGGCTGAAAAAATAAACCAGATATGTCTAAAATGGAAAAAAATGCTTTATAAGGGTCAGTTAGCAACAACCAAGTAAATGCACACCAAGCCCATGGCATTGACAGCAGGGAAACCTCACTTTGGCTCTGGGTGGTCTCAGTAAGCTGCACGGAGAAATGGTGTGCATGAGCTAGAATTTGAAGAAAGGGCTGCACTCACAGATTCAAACTTTTCCAGAAAATGTTTTCTCTTTTGGAAGGTCAACGATACAGGGCATTCTCTTTTTCATCGCCAGAACAGCAGCAACATTGTCTGCTTTAGTACTTTCAACGAGGCTGTATTTTGTCCATCTTCCGGCCATCCTCTTTGGGACCTTTCCCATAGTAGCGTCAGCATTTGCCTACTTTCTGCCAGAGTCCTTTAATCTTCCACTTATTGAAACCATCAAGGACATGGAGAAAAGGTAAGGTCTATATTTATTATATATGGAGATTATCTAATATTTTTACATAATTTTACTATTTACAAAGTGCTCTCATAAACATCAGGACAAGTAATTTTTGATTAAAAATGTATTGTTTCTATACTGCATGTGAGAAAATGGAAGGTTTAACAGGGATAAATAAAACTTCATGGGCAAAGCCCATGAAGTGGGTCAGTGGGAACACTTGACTGAGTCTACATGAACAACTTCATTCCAAAATGAACAATACATTTGGGGGTGAAGATTGATACTGGTATTACCACTTAAATAATTCATAACATTGAACTCACAAAAATACATAGTTTATTGCTTCTTAGCTCCCCAAATGGAAAACCTCAAGTTTCCAGTCTCAAACTTTGATCTTTCAGATCCAGATATATGGTGAGAAATGTGAATATGCAACAAATGTAAGCAGGATATGAATTCAGCTACAAACTTTGCAAAAATTCATATTTTATCTATCCCTTGCCAATGCAAGTATCTCATATTTTTCCTTAAGATAAAATACATTGCATCTGAAGGCAGTCTATAAGTGGCAAGTATGTGATCAACTTCACATTATCCATGTTTCCAGAAAACTTTATTTCTTGTTCTGTTTAGAATTCTGATAAAAGATACATATATTTCTTTCCCAACCTATGTTCTAACATTTTAAGTCCTTTGGCTAACCCTAGAAGGCTGTTGTAACTTCATCATTGGAAAGAAGTTTGGTTTTGTGTAATTAAAACTAGAAAGAATCACCAAAATGCTCTAAAGCTGGTGTCCCAAGCAGTACTTTAAGGAAACACTGAGATAATGGTTAAAGTTTGCTAAGGGGAGGATTGTCTGTAGCCCAAGTCACTGTAGCAGTCCCTGCTTTCAATCAGGTTTTACATGAAGTTGGAATCAGTGATTCATGTTTTGTCATATCTAATTTCATAGAATAGGTGATCTTTATTGAGTGGAAATAATACACTGAAGATAAAATAGCATAGAATTAGAAATAAAAAGCTCTTGGATTTGGATTCCAAACCTGCTTTTAAGTGGCAAACTGGGTAGATTACATGAGGTCTCAGAGACATGTATTGGTCATCTTTAAAATGATGGTGCTAATTTAGTGCTCCTTGCTCAAAAGGATGTTGAGAAGTAACAACGCATTTGTAAGAGAGGCATAAACTTCACTGCAGTACAAACCAAAATTTGTTTTTTGTTTCCTCCAGATCCATTCTGGCCACTCATCTGTTTTTATTTTGCTTCTTTGATTACAGGTACGAGTTAAGAAACAAGAGCACCCGAAAAAAACAAAGAAAAGTCCTCTTGGCAACCACTGAGTGCTGAAGAGACCAGACATATACAGAGCGGAAGAGATTCACATATTTTCACATAATCCTAAGCAACATTTTGATTGTATTCTTTCTTTCTATAACTTTGGCCTTTGATGGACATACATTAACATAGTTATTAATTAATAAGTCACAAAAATAACCCTTCAGTGAACAACCCATAATATAGATTTGAAGTTTAAGGCATAACTGAATGTTGATGATCAGGTTCCTGACATTAAAAATGGAAAATAAATTGGTACAATAGAAAGTTTTTCTTAGAATTAAATGGAAAGGGATCTGCTTAAAATTGAACATTGAAGACAAACTGTCTAAGAAAACTTTTGATTTAAAATCCATGGTTTTCATTATATATATATACATACACACACACACACACAGATATGTACACATGCATGTGTATTTATATATAGAAAGACCGTTGAGCATACTAATGAGAATAACTACAGAAAAGTTATTGAATATGATGAATAACATAGTCATTTAGATGCTTCAGATGCTGCTATGAGTAGTTAAAGCATAAGTCTCTTAAAAAGAACATATCATAAGTCCAGAATTTCAGTTTTTAGACACAAAATGAAAATATAATAAAACTGCAGTTGAGCAACATCATAATCATCATAAATTGAGCTCTTCTTCCCATTTTGGTAGTGAACAATGGATAAACAGATCAACTTGGGAGTCACAACAATGAGCAACCCAGATGGACAATCATGGGATGTGTATTCATCTTTCCCATCCAATGTTTCTGAGTAGAGACTGGGTTGGAAAAAAAACATATCAAACCAGATTATAAGGCTTAGGTTTTTCCACATTCCAGAAAGGCCTGGGTATGTTACTTCCTTCCTGAGTTATGGTTGCCAGCCCATGTGGACCATAAACCCTCTTCATAACTTGCCTGAATTAGCTCCACCTGGCTCAAGACAGGAAACAAATAATGAACATGGACATTAGAAGCACAAGTGATGTCAAAGCAAATGTTCTGCTGAGTTCAGGAGGTATAATGAAAGGTCAGAGGCTGGTTTTGCCCCTCAAGATGTAGAAAATTTGCAACTATAAACCATTTCCTGTTGTTCACAAGTTCTGAGCAATCAGGCTAGTGATGCCTAATTCCTTTAAACTAATGAAAGAATTTGGGGAAAGAGCATACTATTCTTTTGTTAATATGTGGGGGTAACTCTATTTACAAAATCCATTCTCTAAACATACTATTTTTGAGATTCACTCATATTATTATGTATATTAATAGTTATTTTTTAAAATTGCTATATGGTAATTTATTGTGTGAATATAGCACATTTATTGTGTGAATATAGTACATTTGAATTGTTTCCAGTGTTTAGCTCTTAAGAATAAAGATGACATAAACATAATTGTAAAATTAGTTTTGGTATCTACACATTCTTTTTTCTTGCATATATACTTAGTAATACATTTTTAAAGTTGTAATAAATTTGTTTTGTTTTATTAGAAACTATCAGTTTTTGCAAATGGTTTTAATAAATATACACACAACCTCATAAGATATTGCTGGCAAATTTATTGTGCTTTAGCCAAAGAACAGTACATTAAGATGGAAGAATTGATACTAGGAAAAGTAAGAAGTAGTGTGTCTATAGACTCTCTCAAGGTTTAGTATCAACAGGATGACTTACGCCAGAAGGTTTCCTTTTGTGTTTTATTATGGTTTGAATGTTTGTCAAACCACAGTAGACCCGTGTTGACCCATGAGTTCTACTCTGTTGAAAATTAACCCAGATGGAAATTGAATTATCATTTTAAAAGTGATAGGACCTTTAATAATGCCACATGGGTGGGATTAATGGCATTATAAAAGGACGAGTTCTGCCTCCTTTTCTTTTTGACATTTTCTATTCTGCCATGTGATGATGCCTCAAGAAAGCCCTCACTAGAGGTTGGCAACTTGATATTGGATTTCTTAGTCTCCAGAATTTTGAGATAATAAATAAATTTCTTTGTATTCTATGATGGCAGAAGATTAAGACATGGTCCAGTTTCTATGTTTACAAATTACCCAAGGAAAGATTTTGTACACAGTGTCATTACATACAATGTCCTGCTTCTGAACAAGGTTAGGCTCCAAAAAAAAAAAAAAAAAAAAAAGGGGGGTGGGGAGAGGGTCAGTTGAATTGCTGTATTTAACTCTATAGCAACTCAAGTCAAAGTACCATTGGACGGCTGGTCAGATCTGCCCTATCTATGACAGTCTGTCTGACCCAGGGGAGCTACTTTTGGTTATGCTTACAGTAGGGCACTGTCACCTGGATCTTTTATTTGCTAAAATGATGAAATGGTTGAGGACATGAAGAGATTGCACTTTTAGATTTTAAAGGTGATGGTATCACTTTCTGTTATTTCCTCAGTATTTGGTAATTGCTTTCAGTATTTTGATCACGGCATATTTTACAAACTGAATTGTGTCTTCTTTCAACTTATATGTTGAGGTCCTAATTCTCAGTATCTATAATACTACTGTGTTTGGAGACAGGGCCTTTGAGAAGTTAATTACATTAAAATGAAAGCTGGGATGTAGCTTAGTGGTCAACTATGTGCTTAGCATATACAAGGCTCTGGATTTGATCCCCAGTACCATCAAAAAATAAAAGTTAAAATAAAAATAAATAATTTAAAAAATTGAATTAAAGTGAGAGAAGAACTGAAATTATCCCTATTGATGATGACAGGATTCTATATTTAGAAGGCCCAAAAATTCTATCAGAAAACTTCTAGAACTCATAAACAAATTCAGCAAAGTAGAAAAATGTAAAGTTAACACCAATACATCAATTGCATTCCTATACATCAGTGATGAATCAACTGAAAGAGAAATTATGAATCCTATTTCATTCAAAATACCCTCAAAACCAAAACAAGAAAACAACAACAACAACAATAAAATCTTGGGAATCCATTTAACAAGGAGGTGAAAACCCTTTACAATGAAGACTCTAGAACACTAAAGGAGTAAATTGAAGAAAACTTTAGAAGATGGAAAGTTTGTTCATGTTCTTGGATAGACAGAATTAATAATGCCAAAATGGCCATAATACTAAAAGTGCTATACAGATTTACTGCACTTCCTATTAAAATTCCAATGATATTCTTTATAGAAATAGAAAAATCAGTCATAAAAATCATTTGGACAAATAAGAGGCCCAGAATAGCCAAAGCAATCCTTAGCAAAAATGTGAAGCAGGAGGTATCACAATACCAAACCTTAAATTATACTCCATAGCTACTCAGCATGGTATTGGTACCAAAACAGACATGAAGACCAATGGAACAAAATCGAGGACACAGAGACAAACCCACATGCATAGAGTTTTCGTATACTAGACAAAGACACCATAAACATACATTGGAGAAAAGATAGCCTTTGCAATAAATGGTGCTGGGAAAATTGGAAATCCATATGTAGCAAAATGAAATTAAACCTCTATCCCTCACCCAACACAAAAGTTGTCTCAAAGTAGACCTAAGCAATAGACCAGAGACCCCGTGCCTACTAGAAGAAACAATAGGCCCAACTCTCTATCATGTGAGCTTAGTAACCAAATTCCCCAACAAGATTTCTAAAGTGCAAGACATAAAATCAAGAATCAATAAATGGGGTTGTATCAAACTAAAAATCTTCTTTACAGCAAAGGGAACAATCGAGAATGTGAATAGAGATCCTACAAAATATAAGAAAATCTTTGCCACGTGTACCTCAGATATAGCATTAATCCCTAGGATATACAAAGAACTCAAAAAACTTAATACCAAAAGAACACAAATAACCCAATCAATAAGTGGCAAAGGAACCGAGCAGGCACTTCACAGAAGAAATGATTGGTCAAAAAATATACAACAAAGTGTTCAACATCTCTAGGAATTAGAGCAATGCAAATTAAAACTACACTGTGATTCCATCTCACTCCACTCAGAATGGAAATTATCAAGATTGCAAGTAACATTAAATGTTGGCAAGATGTAAGGGAAAAGATACACTCATACATTGCTGCTAAAAATGCAAATTGGTGCAACTACTCTGGAATAGAACCACCATTTGACCCAGTTATCCCACTCCTAGGTATATATATATAGACTTAAAATCAACATACTACAGTGACACAGTCAGATTAATGTTTACAGCAGCTTATAGCAAACTTTTGGACCATCCTAGATGCCCTTCGACAGATGAATGGAAAAAGAAAATGTGGTATGTATACACAGTGGAATATTACTCAGCCATAAAGAAGAATAAAATTATGGCATTTTCTGGGACTATGATGCTAAGTGAAACAAGCCAGTACCAAAATAACAAAGGCTGAATGTGGTTTCTAATATGTGGGTGCTAGCACACAATGAAGCAGGGGGCAAGAGAAGAATAGAATTTCATTGGAATTCCATTCAAGGGGGGAATTAAGGAAGGTAGAGGTGGGGGAATAGGAAAGATAATAGAATGAATTGGACATTACTTTTCTATGTCCATATATGAATATATGACCAGAGAAAGTCCACATCATGTACAACCACCAGAAAGGGATCCTAATCAGAATAAGTTATACTCCATGTGCGTATAATATACTGTCATGTATATCTAAAAAGAAGAATAATAAAATTGAAAAAGTAAGACATTTAGCATGTGCCCCAATATAATGTCTTTGGAATATAAAATGATGTTAGGATTTAGAAAGAGACACCAGGAATGTGCATACACAGAGAAAAAAGTCATATAAGGACTCACCTAAAAGGCAGACCAAAATGAAAGGTTGTTAGGAGAAACCAAATCTGAGAACACTTTGATTAAAAATTCCAGCCACGTACAAGTGTACCCTTTTCCCCACATCCTCGCCAGCACTTGTTGTTGTTTGACTTCATAATGGCTGCCAATCTTACTGGAGTGAGATGGTATCTTAGGGTGGTTTTGATTTGCATTTCTCTAACTGCTAGAGATGGTGAGCTGGTGGGACTGCAAATTGGTGCAGCCAATTTGGAAAGCAGTATGGAGATTTCTTGGAATGCTGGGAATGGAACCACCATTTGACCCAGGTATTCCCCTTCTCGGTCTATTCCCTAAAGACCTAAAAAGAGCATACAACAGGGACACTGCTACATCGATGTTCATAGCAGCACAATTCACAATAGCTAGACTGTGGAACCAACCTAGATGCCTTTCAATAGATGAATGGATAAAAAAAATGTGGCATTTATACACAATGGAGTATTACTCTGCATTAAAAAATGACAAAATCATGAAATTTGCAGGGAAATGGATGGCATTAGAGCAGATTATGCTAAGTGAAGCTAGCCAATCCCTAAAAAACAAATGCCAAATATCTTCTTTGATATAAGGAGAGCAACTAAGAACAGAGTAGGGAGGAAGAGCATGAGAAGAAGATTAACATTAAACAGGGACGAGAGGTGGGAGGGAAAGGAAAAGAGAAGGGAAATTGCATGGAAATGGAAGGAGACCCTCATTGTTATACAAAATTACATACAAGAGGAAGTGAGGGGAAAGGGAAAAATAATACAAAGGGGAGAAATGAATGACAGTATAGGGGGTAGAGAGAGAAGAGGGGAGGGGAGGGGAGGGGAGGAGGGATAGTAGAGGATAGGAAAGGCAGCAGAATACAACAGACACTAGTATGGCAATATGTAAAACAGTGGATGTGTAACTGATGTGATTCTGCAATCTGTATACGGGGAAAAATGGGAGTTCATAACCCACTTGAATCAAATGTGTGAAATATGATATATCAAGAACTATGTAATGTTTTGAACAACCAAAAATAAAAATTAAAAAAAAAATTCCAGCCACCAGAACTCTAAGAAAATATATTTCTATCATTTAAGCCACCCAGTGTGTGGTATTTTGTTATGACAAATCTGACAAACTGATACAGTAAAGGAGATTTCAGTTCACTTTCCCTTCAAGCTGTGAACATTGTCATGGTCAAAATGGAGTTGCTTACATCACCTTTAAAGGCCAATAGTAAATAAAGCCAGGAGGTTATAAAAGAAGGGTTTTCACACTTAATTCCCTGATAACTGCTATCACAAAGGACTGCCAGAGCCACCGCTTTCCACAGAGGCCACCACAGTATTGCACAAAAAATACTCAGTGAGGATACCTGCCTGGAAACTATTCAACCTTCACTGTGCTTCCTGCTGTTAATCATTGTGGCTCAGGGCTACTGTTTCAAAATATTTGATATAATCCTCTTATTTTTGCCTTTCAAAACTTCCCCTTGCTTAAATCTCTTTGAACATCTTCGTAGATTACTATGGCTCCGATACTGTTATAATTCACTGCTATTCTCAAATGAAAGTGATTCTTTAGAGACTCTGTTATTTATGAGGGCAGAACCTATGTAGGTGTAGTGCCAGTCCCGTCTGAGACCCTGGAAATTATAAATTTGGGTCTGGCATTAAATACAATTGTGGATTAATGAGCTCACTGAGCCGGACTTGAACTAGCAATTCTAATCCCAAATATTAACCTATGAAAAATAAACAT